GTGTGTCATCTACTTCTTGAAATGAAGTCAGATATTCATTTCAAAGACATAAAAGATTTTGTTTGTCTTTTTCCTTGATTCCAGAGGCTGTTGTAGGCAATTCATTCATCATTTTCGCTTTATAGAATTCCTTTGTGAGAATTCTTAATCCGTGTTATGTGTTGATGGAGGGTCCCGAGTGGTGGCTCCAGCTGAGACCCTCTGAGGCCCCCGTGGTGTCGGCCGCTCGCCCTCCGCTGTGATCACTGGATTTCCCTCTGGCTGAAGTCATTAATCAGGTGGAGGTCTGGGCCGAGCGTCAGCCTCGGTCCACACACATTATGATTACACCGTTTCCATGGCAACGTGGTGTATGTCCGTGGCTCCGTACAGGTGGAAAGTGCTGCAACTGGAGATCAGAGTGTAACGAAGAAGTCCTCCGTGCGTTATGGGATCCGCGGGGTAGGATCGCGTTGGAACAGTGCATTAGGATGATTTCAACCACAGTGTATCAGCCAAAGATATGTTCAAGTGCAGTCCTTTAGTCTCTTCATCCATCAAGTTATTTTTATGGTACCTGCACTTTACTTTATGACTTTTTTATCTGACAACTTTTTAAAATAACTCCTTACTTTTATTTTATTTTTATAGATTTTTTCTTAATTTATTTCCATTTTATTTTAATTTATTTGATATCATTTTAATGTATTTAATTTAATGCATTGTATTTTAATTCATGTATTTTATTTTATTCCATTTATTTTTTTTCATTTTGATTTGTGTTATTTAAAGCTGGCAGACTTGTGTGTATTTTAATGTGTTACTTTTCTATGTGCAGCACTTTGGAAACATTTCATAAAGTGTGCTGCATGCATAAAGTGGATTGGATTGGATTACTTTTAATTTGTTGTCTACTTTGTGTGAATTAATTTGTTGTGGTTAGCTGCGCTTCTAAGTTCCATTTGGCTCAAACGGTGTGATGTTTAGGTGTTTAAAGGCAATGCTTACAATCAACAAACATGACATACTTTTACCGGAGTACTGCAGATGTGTGTACTAGTATCTAAACTTGTTGAAGTTGTATTTTTTCACTTTCTCTCAATTTCAAAAAACACACTGTTTTTATTTTATTTAATGACATCCCTGGAAAACAACACACCAGTACAAGTTAGATCCGCGGAAAGGCTGTCTGACCAATTACTATTATCCAAATTAAGTTTCCTAAATCTACTAAAAATCACTTGCAATTGTTCAAAATGGTAACTTTGGCGCCAAACCATGGAATATTTTAACCAAAGTATTGTGTCTGAATGCGCTCTCACCTCCTTTTTAGCAACAAGGTCCTGGGTTCGACTCCCTATGTGGCCTTTCTGAGTAGAGTTTGCATGTTCTCCCCGTGTCTGTCCAAGTCTCCCCTCAAATGTTACAGATTAGCACCCTGCTTGTTGACCCATTCTTACAAAATAGACCTTAGATTTGACCTTTGAGACGTTTTTTCCCTTGTGACATTATCTTTGGCCTCATTGATGGATCTTCAGGATGTTATGCACCTGACTGTGTAGCTCAGAGCTCAGGAATTCAAACAAAGTCTCCTCTGTGGCACTGGAGACATGTCAGTGGCGATAGAAGAAAAGCAAAGAAAAGCCTAATAATATTAAAACCACCCAGCCTTTTAAAGTGCTCTGCTCTTTCTCACCGAGACTCAACATGTCTGGTATTACAGAAAGTGACAAAAGCGGCGTTAAATTGGGTTTGTGAGTCGATCTTTCCATGTGCGCCGCAGTCTCTGTTTCCATGATGGAGTATGAAGTATATGGTGTGAAATCTAACCCAGCACTAACACTGTGGATGCTCACGCCGGGCTGCTTCATTGGACCAACTCATCATCCTCCTCTTACTGACTGGACCTCACGCTGCAACCAATTTCCCTCCCAAATTACTACAATTACTGGCAGCTCCACCAACCTCCTGTAATATATATTAACAGAGAATGTTATTACAGCATAAACGGATTGTCATATTTAATACTGCCAATTAAATGGACTGTATATTTGAGATTCTCTTCGCCAAGATTTTTTACCAAGCAGTTGGTCACCGAGAGAATTTCAGTTTGTTTTGGCCCAGATATTATCAGGTCTATGCATTCCTTTGTTTTTGGTCTGCTCAATTAATTACAAAGATAAATCCTGCTACTGTAGACAAATAGAGAAACTAAAAAAACAACAGTAGCTCTGTTGGTATAGCATTGGCCTTTGGGCCGGAAGGTCGTGGGTTTGAGCCCATCACGGGACCTGCTCCCACTAATGTCTGCTGTCGTTATGTCCTTGGGCTCTCTATGGGCGGCACGGTGGCTGAGTGGATAGCACTCTCGCCTCTCAGCAAGAAGGTCCTGGGTTCGAATCCCGGTTGGACCAGGGCCTTTCTGAGTGGAGTTTGCATGTTCATCCCGTGTCTGCGTAGGTTTCCTCCGGGTGCTCCGGTTTCCCCTACCACTAAAAATATGTACAATAGGTCTGGCATGTGCCTCCTGTACTGGCACCCCCAATCCCAAAAAATAACAATTGTAAACCGCTTTGAGACTCCGATGTGCAGTGAAAAGGCGGTATATAAATAAAGATTACTTACTTACTTACTACTCTATAGTTTCTCCTTTTTGAATCCGAGCGAAAACATATCAAACTGTGTCAAAATGACTTGCAGTGAGAGTTAGCACATCAAGCAAATCACTGGAAAATGTGGCAGCGTAATCGTCCGTAATCGTTTGGAGTCTTTTTTTTTGGTTGTCACACTGCCACAAGATACAGACACATTTTCCCAGCGCTGCAAAGACCCTGTTGTTATGGTTATGACATGATTTTATATGTTTGCTTAAAATATTAGACTTAAACCAGACATGTCTCGGTTTGAAAATGTATGAAAAAGTCCGATGTTTTGGAGGCAGGTGCATCGAGAAAGGGGAGAGAGAATGAGAGCTGGTGCGAAGCCTCTGCACTTCGTCTTCGGCAAACATAACCTTGGCAGTGTCTGACCACAAGCATGTTTCCACTACGGCCTGGTCCAGAGAATTTGGCTGCCTTCGAACTTTGCGTAATGCAGGTTTTAGGTTGCACTAACGCTGGATACAGTGGCTAACTGTTTTGGATGACACCCGTTTTACACAAAAAGCCAAAATGTAGTCATCACAGAGCAGTTTCTCAGGCAATTATGTCACTGGGGTTTTGGGGAATGCTTACCAAGAATGCTGACGTTTTAGACTTTTGCAGCTGTTGAAGATCCTTGAAGAACTTCTGTATGTAGCCTATAGTATACATACATTACATTCACTGTCATGGGCACTTATGCAGTTTTTATGAAAGAACGACATCTGTAAATTATAGCACTCGTTAAAACTATAATCTAGAACAATGTGGAAAAGAAGCCAGGAGGAAATCTCAAGTTACTAAGTGTAACCGGTGGAATCTGAGCCGTGACACTTGTCTCACGCTTCAGGAACATCATTAAAGAATAATGAAATACAAGTAAGTCGTCTTGTTCTTCAGATGTACGCGGCACATATCTCTGTGTTTGACCCGGCTGAAGCCCCTTTGGACGTGAGGTGTGAGCAGTACCCAATCTCCAAGGAATATCCACATACTGTTGTGAGTACTGTATGTGGTAGTGTATTCTGTAGTGTAGTGTATTCTGTTTACCACTTTAGTTCCATTGGGAGTTGGAATGCTTTATGTACCACTCTATCAAACTAGATTAACTTCCATGACCGAAGTGTCCGAAGTCTAGAAGCAGCTGATTCTGGTGCCCACATCTCTCAGGACTGGGGTTTGTGGGAAACATGTTGAAGTTGAGGCAAGGTCACTGCTCAGATATGAACTCTCCGGGGATTAAAGAAGTGGGCTCATAATACGGCCGCGCAACAAACACTTTCAAGTTCACACACGCACGCGCCTGTATAAATAAATCTTTGCGCAAGTGTGCGTGACTTTTTGTAGATGGATCTAAAAATACAGTGTGGACCAAAAAGGAGAGAGGATGGCTGAGCAGAGCACTATCTGAGCTTTGGAAAGAAAACAGCCCAATCCTCATCGGTTTTAGAACGATGAAGAGTGAGGGCTGCAGAGATAACTCTGCCGTGAGAAGGAGAACTCTTTCCACAAATGTAATCCATGGATTTGAGAGAGAAACAAATCTGGCAGTGCAATAAGCATTTCATACAAAACAGTTTCTCAAAAAAATCAAAGAAGCTGAAACATGATTCGTACTTTTGTACTTGAAACTTGTGGTACCTTCCTCTGAACTTTGTTCAAGTTGTCACTGCGGTTACAGAGAATTGTCCAACACCAGGAAAGAGATCTCCTTGAACATACCCAATAAACACAACGAAATGTGACAAAACAGTATCCCCAGTGAGCAGAGTTAACATGCATTTAAGATTCAACACATTTAATCCTAGTGTGATCATTTTTAATATGTATATATACGTATATATTTTTTTACAATGGACGCTAACAAAAAACGGTACCAAAGCTACTTTCATTATATTGAAAAATAAACTCTTTTTTTGGTGGTGATGATCCAGGACTCTAGACATTCAACTAAATGTTTATAGACTTTGGTGATCTGCCCCTTATGGACCAATGGCTCATAATGTGTTTTATTATCATTGCATTCATTGTGTTTAACTGTTTGATTCTCAGATTTGTGTTGGAAAATGGACAGTTTTGTAAAGTCCTCCACTATACTTTGATTTAGAGCTATTCAAAAATAATTGAATTGAAAAGTAAACGCCATTAGACCTACATAAAACATTCCAGGAAAGACAAAATGTATAAGTTCACCCACCACCATCAAAGTTGTGCCTAGTGCAGTTTCAATGAAAAAGGAAAGAAAGAAAAGTAAGGTACCCCAACTTTAATCCCGGGCAAAATCACGTGGAAGACAGACCAAAGAGGAGGAGGAGGAGACGGGGAGAGAGTGTGAGAGAGGGTGGTGGTGGTGGAGGTGGAGGTGGAGGAGCCCAGATGTGAATGAGCCGCAGCGCGTTGCCAGTCTCCCACACAGAAGAAGCGGAGGAGCGCGCATACTCTCACTCGCTCACGCACACGCACACGCACACACGCACTGGCCCTGGCGCTCCGTGGTCTGTCTGTGGACTCAGCAGGACGCGCAGCACCATCTCCCGCAGCGGACAGAGACGGGATTCTCCAGCGTGCGTCGCGATGTATTTCGGTACGTAAACATAATTAAACAGCAAGACGCGGCGGGATTGTGCGTGTCTGTCCTGCGGAATTGGGAGCACTTGTTGATTTTTTTGTTTGTTGAAAACTCACCTGCTCCTAATACTCTCCGGGCGATTATCTACTGCATCTTTTCTCACTCTACGCCTACACAGTTTATTTTCATGCTGGGAAAGAAATTCTGTTACGAACGAGACAATAAGACTGTGTGTGCATGCTCTCAGTTTGGGCTATATACTTAGGTATATAGGAGGATTTTCTACTTCCGGGTGGATCAGCAAGACTATTGGTTCTCCTAATTGTCAATCAATCTGGTGATACATGCCTCTCATATAGGGCCAGACAGTTTTTTTTTTTAATGAGTGGAGAGGGAGGCTCTTTCCTAAAAATGTGTGATAATCCTCATATATACCTTTAAGTTAAAAGTTTGCGCTGTCTTGGATTCATCTTTACATGTATATATTCATCTAAATGTGCTCGCCTATATCCCTTCATAGCTTCATTCTTCCCTGAAAGCAAACTAAACATTTCTCGGTCAAACAAGGTAATGGGCAATCAGTGTAATGGAAGTGCATGGTGGGTGCGGAGTCTGATGATTACACGCACGCACGGACACGCACTAGTCTTGAATCAAACTGTAATCAAGATTTGTACAAACTAACAAGCCTCTGCAATCAAGACATGGGCAAGAAAACTCAGGGATAAGTGGTTTGTGTTTCAGTCTTTGTCCAGAGGGTCCTAATGTTTCATCCCTCTGTCACTGTAGTAATAACACCCTGTTGTTTTGGAGCCCATTGAACTATTAGCCCATCCTCTGACAACACAGCAATCATTTCACATTTATTATAGACTGTCACAAATATACCAGTGTATATGGACTGTGGGAACATCGCTCTTGTACTGTATGTTGTTTTTTCCTTTGGGGGTTGTCAGAACACAAGCAAACAGCTCCATATACACACACACAGAATGCAGTGTTTAATGAGCTGTAACAGCGAACACGTAAACAATGCATTTCCGACAAATATTGTTGTGTGATGTTGGATGATGGATGCCTCCTTTGGCTCTGCACAACTCGGAGTGTGTGAAGTGCCTGGTTCTCACAGCCTGGAGAGGAGGTTAGACATTGAGCATTTTACATGATTTAGCAATCTCACAGCAGAAATAGTTTTAAACATAAAAAGGAAACAAAAATACATTGAGAGTTTTGGCTCTGAGCGTCAGTGTGTCTTGGTCTTATCTTGTCTCTTGCCATTGGTGTGTGTGTGTGTGTGTGTGTGTGTGTCATACTGCTGTCATGTGTTTTTACTGTAGGGTCTTGATGCTTGATTTTGTATTGTGTATTAGCTTAATGCTTCAACCAAACCTTTTTCAAACCATCCACAGACATTCTTGTTTGCTTTTATTTGTTTATTTTTCTGTGAATAGTTGTTTGTATATCTCATGCATGTTTAAAATAAATAAACACAATACATAGGGAGCACTAATTAAGACTGTGGATGGCGTATGAAAGATATAGATGGAAATATACTGTACAATGAACCCGGAACCTGACCTGTATTTTTCTCGTTATACAATATGCTTCTTAATCAGTCACCACTACACACGTTGGTTGGTTTTATTTCTGTCTTGAGCTTCATTAGCACCTTGCCTCCTGTCGTTCACCATCTGCTCGTCTCTTTACAAGTGCTGTCGTCTCCAGGTAGTCTGTGCCACAGCGCTCTGCCCCAGCTGCTACGTCCCAGGGCGGGCAGGAGCCAGGCCCAGGACGCCCTCAGGCCTCTCCTCCCCTTCCACCTGCTGCCAGCCTTCTCCGACGTGAGTCCTCCGTGACACTTCCATCACGCTCTCTCACGTGTACAAGATCAAAATGCATTGTTTCGTTCAATGTATGAAATGGTGTTCAGATGTGAGCCTTTTATGACAGAAATGTGTGTGAGAGACATTTCCACGCTCACAGAGGGGTGGGTCCTTTATATTCCGGGAACAGAGGCCTTTCTGCAGCTGTCTGACTGTGTTTGTGAAGGTTTGAAGGTGCAGACAACTAAAAGCCCAAAGGGGACTTGATATGTCAGCCTAAAAAAAAGACCTTAACCTTTATCTAGTGCCTCTGTATGAACATATGACCAAAACCTGATTTTGGGATCACAAATGTTACTTACAATCATCATGAACAATTTCTATATTTTCATCAATTTGAGCCAACACAGCTAGACTTTGAGTAGGCTTTTTTCTTCCTGGACTCCAACCACGACCAAACTGATGATATCTATGGAAAGTTAAATTTTGTATTTCAAGTTTCTCTGAACATTGATTTGAAGATGAAAATGAGCGCAACACGATTTCCCCCGAAAGACACCACTTTTGTTTTCCTCAATCCCTATCACAATGAAACTGGACATGTTGAAAGAACATGGAAACATATTGTTACACGTTTCTTTGAATAGTCATCATATTATACAATGAGCTCAAAGCACATTGTGGAGCATGTTTAGTGTGGAGTTCATTTGCATATTCCAATCATGTTAATTTCTGGAGCTTTTCATTGTTGAAAGGGAAACTGTGATGAGAGTATAAAGTTGCCTTTTGACACTACAGTGTTAATTTGTCTGACCATATCGGCACATATCCTGGATTTACCAGAAAGAATCTACTGAGCCTTTCTCAGGACTTTCAACATGTTGTTCTGACACCTTATAGAATGACAAAAACCCTCATTACAATTAGTTACTCGTAAAACACTGTTGTGTCTGGATTACATTGGGCACGCCCCCAGAATGGACTAGAATATCTTCTACCAAAGTAGACAATACCAGCGACGTCTAAGAGACACAAAGGTTCACTTTTACTTTGCATAATGTATCGAGTTCTGCTAAATGTAACACTTGGTTGCGAGAAATGTCCTAGTTCCATTTCACAAATTTGCATTAACTGTTTTTTCTTGACAACCTCACATTAGTATTCTTACATAGATGGACTCTGGTGCACTCAGGCACAATTAGATGGACAAAAGTCCTTAAAACCGGTCGTTCCTTTCATGTGAATGAGTTTTTACCACTTTCATTTCTGAATTACTAGTGTCAACAATACTCTTAAGTGTATAGTTTAAACAACATAACTATATAGAGATTACATATTTGTCTGTGATGAAAAGCGTTTCCTGACAAGATAAAGTATTGCTTTTGACACACACACACACACACACACACACGCACACGCACACGCACACGCACACGCACACGCACACGCACACACACAGCTCATCCTTCTCTTCCACCTCAGTGCTTCTGTGGTCCACTCCTCTGCCTTCTTCATCCATTTTCCAACTACATATTTATTATACTCCTTTTTCCTTCAATTCCTAAAATGGTCCAAACAAGAAGGAACAAAAAACATCACAAAGTCACTCCCGTCTTTTTTGGAGTGTCTTGGACTGTAGCATTCATGACCTCTGCCGACGCTGGAAAGAAAAAGTGCTCTTTACTCTCCTGGGTGTTACAAAAATATCTGTTTCAAAGTATGAATTATGCATGCTTTGAGAATGTTTTTTCTTTCAGAGAGTGGTCATCCAACAGGGAGGTCATCTAAAAAAACAGCCTACAGTATGTTCGACCAAATTTGCCTTAATATGCAGAAAGCAGTAGTGGTTATGAACTGATGGGGTTCCGTGTAAGTGGGTACACATCTGGGCTCTTCTTTGTGTGACGGCTGATGTGAGCGCTCCACCTCTGTACAGAGACTTTGTTTGGTGCCCACAAGAGGTTGCTATGGTTACAGTCTTGGACCACTGCTATAATGTTGTCTGAACTGATCTGTACTGATGCAAATGTGCTTGTTCAGAAGTCGGTAAAAAGCACACTAAAAGTTTGGTGGTTTGTGTGTCTCGAACCTCTTTCCTACTGAGTAAAAACTGTGCTTCTTCATCACAGGATGAAAAGAGATTTGATTTTTTTACCTGATCTTTTTGCAGAGATGTGAAAAGTGCGAATACTAATTATAGCAGTAATTTAGACAGCATGTTGCTTACACGTGGGTCAGCGCTGCTCAGTGACTTTAGCAGACTGCTTTGGAAAGTTGAACGTTTGTTTTGACCCATTGTCTGTCTTCTCTGAGATGAAGAGCCGACGCAGGTTCAAACAACTCGCCTCAGTTTGTTGTTTGATTGATAGATTCATCTTAATCTTAATCAACTTTTTTATAGCGGCTTTCCTACACAAGGCAACACAAAGCACCTCACAACCCACATCATATCAAGCAAATCATAAACATTAAAATCTACATATACATAAAAAAACACAAGAAATATTAAATAAATAAAATCACATCAATCAAATCAAGTAAAAAAACAGTAATCAAAAAAGATTAAGAGATCCTTTATGCGTTCCACAGTGGGGAAATTTCAGTGTTGCATCACAAGTTATAGACCAGTAGGAATGAGGAGCACACAGCACAAGATAAGTGAACAATAGCTATACTAAAATACACTAATTAATATACTAATTAAAATAAAACAAATATCTAAATCTAGCATCAAAGAAGAAGAAGTTCATAGAAGAAGTTACAAGTTGACATGGCATTTGAAAAACAAAACAAAACAGGTGTTTAGTGAATACAATTTTCAAACATGAAAATACATATCCTGCATTTTTTTATAGTCTATTTTTTAACAGTAATCTTGCACCTTTAGATGCATTTTTCAGCTGTTGATAGACACATTATTGAAGTATTAAACGTCGTCAGAATCACCAATGCCTATAATAATTCAGCAGGAGTCAAAAGATCACGTTGACAGACAGAGAGTTTGTTCTAGCAGCGTGGTGCGGTGTCCAAAGAGGGCGCTGAAGGTGACTTTGGTGCCTGGGTTCAGAGCAGCAGATGGAGTGGAGCTGATCTGTCTCTGATGGGAGAGGCAAGGGCACCGCCTGGACCGACTGTGAAGAGGGAGGAAAATCAGGCTCTAAAAGCACACTCGTACGTACAGTGGCATTACAGTGGTCCCTTGCTGTTTCGCTGATTTATTTGTGGGTAATTTGGCGTTCTGTGTGTTTATACCCGTACTACGCTATAGATCCATGGTTTATACCCAATAACATATAACCAACATATAAACAGATACCTTCATTTCAAGTCAAAAATGTGTGATTAGTTCAGTTTATTTTATTTTAGTGGTTTATTTGAAAAGGCACCGGACACACTAATCAACATTTCTGTTAATGTGTAAGTATTAACTCTACAACTTCCAACTGTAGTCCCAGAGGCAAGGTGTAAAATGTAAAAACAAAATACACTGAAACCTTACAAAACATAAAAAGGTTAAAACATTGCAATTTGAAACAGGTCATTAAAAATATACAAAATAAAACACAATAGCAAACTACAAACTATGAATGGTTACAAGCTTGATTGTCCAATAATCATCTTCTTAGTTTTTGGTCTTCTCCTGCCCCTCCATATGGTGTCCTTTGCAGCTGCATTTTACACTGTGTGCTCGGCTTTTGTCACGGTGCAGCTGTAACCGGAGCACCTGGAGGATATACGCAGGTTTGTTGCTGTCTTGAAAACTTGTTAGATGGAGCTTTATTTGAAACTTTGGGCTTATTGTTGATTGGCTGAGAAAATGCTCTTCTTCTTTTCAGTCTGAAAAGCCCAAAAATACATTCACGTGAAAACTAGTGCTAGAACTGAGCTGTTTTGAGAGTGAGACACCAACAGCTTGAACACATCATTAAGGGTTAGGGTTAAGTGAAAGCATAATGTTGCTGTTGAGAAAGGCAAAGGTTGAATGTGTCTTGGTTATTAAACTCGATGCTAAAATATCAACTCAACAAACCAGAAAACACACTGGCCTTATCTGTTCCTTTATTATTCATGCTTGTATGTGACTAAACATTTTGATATTTGTGTGATACGACAGAGTCCAGGTGCAGGTCCATTTTGATCTTGATTAAACTTGGCTTGGTCTTGTTTTAATCCTGGTTTACTTTCTGCGTTTACTTTTTGAACGCAGCTGTGATGTGGCTTCACACTCAGAGGTTGGAGTTGACTCTTGTGGCCTCGGTCGCATCTTTAGATCAGCTTTTTCAGACAGAAAAGTGAAGAAGTGAACCTGATGAGACTTAACTCACGTCAATGAGTAAAAATAGAAAAGCGTTGGTGTGGATCTAATTAGAAAAGTTGTATTGGTGATGAAAATATCTGATCCTGCTTCAGAAGATATCAGAGTGTATCCTAATCCTGTCTACAATACTCCGCCTTCTAAACCTTTAATTCAGTTTTTGTTCAATCCAAGCGAAATCAGAAACCAATATTAAAACTCATTATCAACAAAATATGAATTTGCTCAAAATATCCTAAAATTGTAAAGAGTTTAAAACAAAACGAGAGTCACAGATGCTAAAGCAAGACCAATACAAAACACACACAGACACACACACACACACACACACACACACACACACACACACACACACACACACACACACACACACACACACACACACACACACACACATGCACGCACACATGCACACCAAGAAAATAATTACCCTGATCTAGACTCTGATAAGCATTTAGCTAATTCTGTCAAAGCGATCCTCAAAGGGCCGCAGCTTTCAATGCTAACCATGCAGCAGCCCACCAGACTCCACCCCTTTCCTCAGGTGAGTCCAGTCTTAACCTGAAGACCTGAGGAAATGGGTGGAGTCTGGTGTGCTCCTGCTTGTTTGGAGCTAAAAACCCGCAGCCACACCGGCCTTTTTTGAAAACCAATTTGACATCCCTGTTCTAGTAACTAATGTCCAAAATATAGTGCCTTCCTC